AGTTCAGTGGTTCAGAGTTCGGTGTTTCAGGGTTCAGGGTTCGGTGCTTCAGAGTTCAGTGGTTCAGAGTTCGGTGTTTCAGGGTTCAGGGTTCGGTGCTTCAGAGTTCAGTGGTTCAGAGTTCGGTGTTTCAGGGTTCAGGTTTCGGTGCTTCAGAGTTCAGGTTTCGGTGCTTCAGAGTCCAGTGGTTCAGAGTTCAAGATTTTTACATCACGTCTACCTAATCTAACCAAACCTAACCATCATCTTCCTTTGTGTTACATTAGACATTTTTTCCTAGTTACGATGATGAGCAAAGAATAAATCCTCTGAATTTGCTCTACCACACGCCACTGGCCTCTCGTTATCACCCGACCATCGCCAGAAGCTGTGGTAGTGTGGTAGTGTGAGTGTGGTAGTGTGAGTGGTGGTAGTGTGGTACTGTAATGTGGTAATACTCAAATCTGAAGACATATGAACAGACAGACTTACACAACACTACTATTATCACAGGCATATGAAAGGTCACACACACACTCGTACATAATATTTCTCAACGCAGGGGAATAAATGATATGAAGGCGGTGTTTTCTTGAACCATCACCGTGAGAAACATCTGACAAGGCTTGAGAAAGACAGACAGACAGAAAGAAAGACAGACAGACAGACAGACAGACAGTCAACCCTCTTATGTTGTGACGTTCTCTCACCAAGGGTTATACTCAGTCTGCCTCTGGTAATGCTAACCTGTGGACGAGTGGTTTGTTTATCGTAGTTGAACGGTGATGATAACTCCTGATAACAATAACAACAAAAGAAAACAACTCTACGGGGATTAACTACAACAAGAAGGTAAATAATAACACCTTTATATTAATAATTATAGATACCTGAATTGATTATATATAAATTATGTTTTTTTTCTGAATTACGTGATTAATAGGATGTTTCTTATCACCTGAGGCGTAAAGACTATAAACCTAACCTAACCTAATGCCCAGTTATAGTGTTAAGGGAGTTTAGTCATAAAGTGAAATAAGCTGGGGTGGCTAATCTTCAGGTGATCCCAAGTTGTTAGAAAATTTGTCACACACACACACACACACACACACACACACACACACACACACACACACACACACACACACAGTTTTAATGGTATTGGTCTGACCTGGAGCGTTTTCTTGGTCTTGTGGCAAATGATGAACTTTAAAGTAATCGGAAAGGTCAATTAAAACTCAAGTAGAACCTTGAGTAGTTTTAGAGATGAAGGATAAGTGAAGTCTTCTACTTATACCTAATACTCAAAAGGCGATACATACAAGATTTTTCTTTATACTTGAAGGAGAGATGTAGGTGATCCTTCCTTATACTGAGAGGCTGAGACGTACAACCAACCTTATACCCGACACTTTATCCCTGATACAATCATAGCGTTTCTGACTATTGTAATTTCGGTAGTAAACAACATTTCAATACACCTCACAGACCTGAGAACTTATCTTGTCAATACCAGAATGTTAAGCCTTCCTTGAGAGCACACCTAAGGCCTCCTGGAAAATGGAGAATGCAGTTACACACACACACACACACTCAATAGCCTCAATATATACCTATGCCCAATCTTTCAGTACCCTCACTATAAACAAATAAATAGCAAATAAATAAAGTAATCTCTGCAATATTCTCCCCATTCTTCAACACATTCTAAATTGTCATTTTTTTACTCATGCTCTAGTAGTTCCATCTGTTATTCAATTTCAGAAGATCCTCGCCTCAGATCTCTTGGGAGGGGGAGGGGGTCGTCTTGCAGTTGTGATAGCTGCTATTTTCTCGAAAGTTCGCTCTGGGGGTATTATTACACGGCGTTACGCTGTGTATATGATTGGCGAAGCACCCCCTCTAGCTTGTGAGTTATAGAAAACGAGAAGGCAGACAGACGCCAACGAATAATAATAATAATGATAAAATGATAAGCTAATAATAAGTTAAATAATAATAATAATACTAATAATAATAAATAATAATAATAAATAATAATAATAATAATAATAATAATAATAATAATAATAATAATAATAATAATAATAATAATAATAATAATGATAATAATAATAATAATAATAATAATAATAATAATAATAATGTTTGGGTTTGAGAATATTTTACAGTACAGAATTCAAGAGTCCTGTCACATCTATGGTGAAAGTTGAGTTGTTTTAGTGTTTATACCCCTCTCTACTCCCTCTCACTCTCACAGCCCTCTCTCCTCCCTCTCACTCTCACAGCCCTCTCTGCTCCCTCTCACTCTCACAGCCCTCTCTACTCCCTCTCACTCTCACAGCCCTCTCTCCTCCCTCTCACTCTGACAGCCCTCTCTTTCAACTTTCACACCAGGACGATTTCCCCGCGGGCAGCAGAGGAGAAAGAAATGAAAGGAGGCGGAGGTAGTAGGGAGGGTGGGAGGGAGGGAGGGAGAGAAGGAAGGAAGGGTGGGAGGGATAAATGGAGAGAAGGAAGGAAGGAAGGAGGAAGGGATATACTGCTTCCATCTCGTTAACTCAGCCTTCCTTCAGCTGTCGCTCATCTTAACATCCTTCGACACACACACACACACACACACCTCCATACCCACCTACCCACACAACCCACCCACACACTACCCACCCACACACCTCCATACCCACCCACACACACACTTCCCCACCCCACCACCACCATCTCCTTCGTACTACAGACCTCAGTGCGCCCAATACCGTGTTATCTGTGCCGAGGAAGCAACAAGACCTAATTAGAGCAATGACACACCACAGCTCTCCCAGGCACGTACCAGCACTCACATTCTGAAAAGTTCTTACGGTAATCTTTTCATCGTGACTGGAGAGGCGAGGAGACGTCTAACTGCCTCTTAAGCTCCGACACAGAGACGAATTCTTAAACTCTCATACAGTCTACTATTTTTTTTAACACTCCTGTCACTAAAGAACTCGTGAGGTTTTTTTTTCTCGTAATTGATGATGTAATGATGTATTTTTATTATAACAGTCGTATCTTTAACCTACGACAGAAAAAGATTCTCAAAAAACTCTTATGTTTAGTTTTTGTAGAGATACGTGAGGGTAATATGGTTCGTTAGTGTCTTCCCTCAATTGTGTAAAGAGAAACAGGGTGGTAAATGGTAACGTGGCTGTGGGACATTTACCATAGTGTTGAGGTCTTCCCTGTGTGTACATTGTTGATGTTTGTTGTGTCTAAGGATCTTATCAACAATATTAATTAACTGGGATGATTTGTGCACTAAAATAAATTAATAAATAAATAAATACAAAATTCTAATTCTGATATAAATCATCAAACCTCGTGAATGGCTCCGTCGACCTGTAGTGGATCTGTACAGTAGGTCGCCGTCGCTATTCGATGAGTCAGGCCACCAGTCTCACACACATACTGTAGACAGAGGAGACGGAAGTGTTTGTATTAACTCCGTCGTATCATTGCCTCTGGGATGGGATCTACAACTTCACGGTAATGTTGAGTTTGTACTTCCTTACCAGACCTATGACAGTGTGTGTATGTGTGTGTGTGTGTGTGTGTGTGTGTGTGAGTGTGTGTGTGTGAGCGTGTGTGTGTGTGTGTGTGTGTGTATGTGTGATCTTGAAAACAATATCAAACACAAGTTGTAAAGGCTTGGCCTGATTCATCTTCACAAAACCATTGACAAAAATTAAACGTAAAAACACAAAACTCAATTTAAGTTTCTACAAGTGGTGCAATTTCCTTGAAAGTGTCATGATGGCTGGCCAAGAAGAACTAGCTGGGACAGGTGGTCAATACTCCTCGACCGTTGGACACTAAGTAATGACCAAGACCAGCTGTTGTCTGTTCTGGTGCGCCACGTTAGTAAGAGAGAGAGAGAGAGAGAGAGAGAGAGAGAGAGAGCTAGAGAAAAGGTGGCACTGGAAAACGAAACTCCTGTTGTGTTTATTTGTTCCCTGCTGGTGATTGGTCGGTGGAAGAAAAGGTGGAAAAGAGAATTTACGTGTGTGTGTGTGTGTGTGTGTGTGTGTGTGTGTGTGTGTGTGTGTGTGTGTGTTTCATCAGGTATCTATAATTGGATTAAAGATATACTGAGCTTCTTTAACTGAATGGAGAAAAGATGAAGGAAGAGAATTTATCTTATCTTTACATGTTGGAATTTGTTCTTAATTATATACATATTTGTTTAGTGGTTTGTTTATGTCTATGTTCTCGTTAGTTAATTAGTTAAAGAATACCCTGCCCTAACCTAACCTAACCCTCATCCTTCCCCCATCCCCTTTCCTCCTCGACGGGCCCACCGCACTTCCACCTGCCTGCATACCCTCAATGTTATTATCATAAACTATGCATAAAGTTACGCCTTAACTTACTTATGCTTCTTGTGAGGAAACATTACACTTTTAAACAAGTCATCAAATGTTAGATACACTTCATCAGCAAGCTCTATATATGCTGAACTCTCTACCTTGAAAGATAAGCTTTACTCTTCTACATTGATTTTCCTTCCTGAGGTGGCTGAGTGGGTAAGGAGTTCTCTTCCTGACCATACGTGCCTTGGTTCGCACCCACAGCTTTGAATGAGTATCCAACCTTACATATGGGAAGGTGAAGGTCATAGAGGAGACTATCCAATAGAATGTCTTGTATCCTGACGGCCAATGAGAACCTTCCATTCTTTATACAGAGATAAGTGAGTTTTTTTTATTCCAATTCAGTTTTTCCCACGGTTTTATTATTTGTGTACTGTAATAGAATAATATGGCTTTGAACAACTACATTATAACATTGAACAGAATAGACTTGAGTGTTGGGGTGTGAGAGAGAGAGAGAGAGAGAGAGAGAGAGAGAGAGAGAGACCTTATCCCGTTACTCTCTTTGTGTAACAGTTCAACTATGATGAACTTCAAGCGTCCGGGAGAGACAGATAAACAATGTCAATGATGAAGGAGTTATTACAGTTACATCCTAAGTGTGACCTTTAGAAGACTAACATAGAAGTGAGATTCAAACAGCCTCTCTTACATCTGGTACACGTCCCTCGAGCCTCCGTCCTCTCCCTCCTCTTATATACGTCATGTGGCCTCAGAGTCTACCTGGACAAGTCACACAGGTAAGGACATGAGTCTAGGGAGTGATTAAAGCAGTGTGTAATAATAATACAATAATAATTGACGGTTTATTGAAAAAGTTCTGCAGCCCGAAGGCTGAAAATATACATTGGACATAAATGACTTATTACATACATTGGTGGTTTAACAAAAGCCTTCATTAGAGAAAGGTAAAGGAACATACAGTGTAAACACACAGATTAATGCTTACACATCGCAGACTGGGTGTGAGCTAGGAGGTGTTGGAAAAGCAGACACGTATTGTGCAGTAACTCCCTACAGATGGCAAGTGTTATGAGGGGCTTGACGTGGTGTAGTAATTCCCTCACAGATGGTGTTACGAGGGGCCTGATGATGTAGTAATTCCCTCACAGATGGTGTTTTGAGGGGCATCAAATGGCGTAGTACTTCCCTCACAGATGGTGTTATGAGGAACTTTACATGATGCTGTAGCAACTCATTCACTACGTGGTGTCGTAGCATCATGGGGACACCACGTGATCAGTTGTCACAGGACTTCACTCACTCAAGTGGGTGAGGTGTGGTCCCAGGCTTCTCTATCGTGGAGTCTCAGGGGAATTATCACTGGGTACCTGGGACCTCACTGCGTGAAGGTTAGCTTGGGGAAGACTCAACTGCCGAGTTGTTTTTCACTGACTTAAGCACTGTTCACCGCTATTCAACACTGGTTCCATTCCTTTCCCAAATGAAATAGTAACTTCTGGCGAGAACTTGTTTTGTGTGTGTGTGTGTGTGTGTGTGTGTGTGTGTGTGTGTGTGTGTGTGTGTGTGTGTGTGTGTGTGGTGTGTGTGTGTGTGTGTGTGTGTGTGTGTGTGTGTGTGTGCGTGTGTGTGTGTGTGTGTGTGTGTGTGTGTGTGTGTGTGTGTGTGTGTGTGTGTGTGTGACTAATGACATGTTAACTTGATCATTTTAGTGACCCTGTCGTAATATTAAACACTTAACCTAAATCTTCCATATCAGATAGGTTAAAGAAACTAAACTTGCATTCCCTAGAAAGACGAAGAGTGCGGGGAGATATGATAGAAGTATTTAGCGGGAAGAGAAAGGAACCAATACAAAGGGATATAGATAAAGTTCTTAATGACCAACGATGTTACTAGGAATCCGACTGCGAGAGAGATTTAGGAGTAATGATAAGTAGGAATCTTAAGCCAAGTAAACAATGTGTTTTTGCTCGTAACAAGGCTAATAAAGTACTTGGGTTCACACAAAGGAGTGTTAGTTACAAGACTAGCGAGGTCATCTTAAAATTATATCTAGGGCTTGTGAGACCTCACCTGGATTACGCAGTTCAATTCTGGTCACAGAGTATAGAGACAGGTTAAAAGCACTTTAATTTGCACTCCCTTGAGAGACGAGAATGAGGGCGACATGATAGAGGTGTATAAGTGGAAGGCAGGGCTAAAACAAAAGGGGACATTATGAAGGTACTCAAACTATCCAACCAGAGCGAACTCGTAACAATGGTTTTAAATTAGACAAATTTAGATTTAGTGAAATAGGTAAACACTGGTTTGGAAACAGAGTAGTGGATGAATGGGAACAAGTTATCAACATCATCATTAACCTCGAATACGCTGGATAGCTTCAAACACAGGTTGGATGCTTGGCGAGCAATAAGTTGGGTATAAAACGGGGACTTTTCAGTATGGGCCAACAGACCCGCTGCAGTTTCCTCCACTTATGTTTCTATGTTATCCTGGTTGGTGATAGACCCCGGAGCAACGGATTTAAGTTGATAAGTTTAGGCTTAGAGGGAGATAGGAAGGAACTGGTTCACAAATAGGGTGGTGGACGAGTGGAACAAGCTTAGCAACTTTGTAGTAGTGCTGGAACGCTGGAAAGTTTTAAAAGGAGGCTAGATAGATTCATGGATGATAGAGAGTGGTAGTAACTCCCGACAGGAGCTGCCATGCACAGGCCAACCGGCCTATTGCAGACTCCTTATTTTCTTATGTTCTTATGTTCTTATTTGAAAGAGAGAGAGAGAGAGAGAGAGAGAGAGAGAGAGAGAGAAAGAGAGAGAGAGAGAGAGACTGTAGTTATATCCCGGGTGCTGTGGTTAGTTTTGTTTACTTTTAGAACCAACACATCACCCATCCGGTTTCCTGTCCGTTCGTTCGTTTATACACCCGTACAGCATGAGCGTGTTCATATGTATCTTCTTTACCTAACCTGACCTAACCTAACCTAACCTAACCTGACCTAACCTAACCTAACCTAACCTGACCTAACCTAACCTAACCTGACCTAACCTAACCTATCCTTGAATCTTATATATAACAAAGCAACTTCACGTACAGTTGAGTAGTATGTAGCTTTTTAGTTCAGTGTCTATGGATGTATATAAAATAGTAGAAATCAATTTAATAGCTTTGATTTTATTAAGAATTATCGACGTAGTTATTTCTCATCTTAAAAAAATGGATTCTCTCTCTCTCTCTCTCTCTCTCTCTCTCCCTCTTTCCCTCACACCCACCCACATTGTCTGCCAACCCCCCTCTCTCTCTCCATCCAGTCCCCTACTTTCTCTTTCCACTTTCACCACTACTCTTCCTCTCTCTACTCATCTCCCTCTTCCTATGCTTCGTTTTCTTATCCTTTATCCTATGACTCTTCTTCTTCTTCTTCTTCTTCTTCTTCTTTTACCCTTTTTTTTCGAAATCTTGCAATTACATTATAAACTACATAACCTAACTAAAGGTGTGTGTGTGTGTGTGTGTGTGTGTGTGTGTGTGTGTGTGTGTGTGTGTGCCCAAACACACCCCATTTGACAGCTAGAGTGCGCCCCTTCCCAAAAAACACATTCTGAGGAGCCTCTTAAAATAGACCCCATGCATATTCCATTCAGTTTATCCTTCATGTTTATAGCTCATAGGGGCGTATATGACGGCTTTTGTTGGACGCTGGGAGGGATGGAAGAGAAGGAAGGAGGGAAGGAAAAGAGACAGGAATGGAAGGGAGGAGGAAGAGAGAGAGAGAGACAGAGGGAATAAACGCATCAGAGAGAAAGACAGACAGACAGAGGACCATAGGTGTAGATAGTGTTAAAACAGATTCTTACACTATTGGCTCCGTCTGTCACTAGTATAGACAGGTACTGACATACAAACATTCATTTAAATACAGGTGGTACACTGACAGACCTGAAATATCGAGAGACGAGTTACTGACACCTATTGTAAAGTCTTTTAGGGGTGAAATTGGTGATGGGTTCAATTTTTGGTGCAAGATAATGTCTATCCACACACACACACACACACACACACACACACACACACACACACACACATCTGAAGCTGGGGTGTAGACTGAAGTTGTTGTGGTAAGCTTCCGTGATGATGTGGAGGGAGAAACAAGATTCAAACTCACGAATCCGAAACATTTATGGACTGAATAATGTATCAGTCTACTGCTTCGGGTTCACGAGTCTGACTCTCTGGGTTCATGGTTCAGGAGGAGAGGTAAACGAAGCTTTTATGGGTGACTGTACAAAACCGTATGTATACCAGACATCGTGTAATTATTTCAAGTTATTTGAGTTATTTACTGAGTGCTTGAGGGTGATTGAACAAGGTAATTTATCCTGTGAGGTAGGTAATTAGTTGAATAGTGTTGATAGCGGTCAACCTAACTTAATTGTGACGTGACTAGTTCTCATTGGCTGGTTGAGGGAAAGATTAATCACTTATAGTTACGATATGTTCAGGCGTGTTAACCATCCTTGAAATATGGCTGTATAGTTATTAACAAATACATTGATCAAAACAAACCCGAGAAGTTGACCTCGGTGAGTGAACCAGGATTGTAACCATGGATTTGATCTCGTAAGGTGAGTTAGTTAGTTAATTAAATGTTAGAAGCATAGGTAGTAAATAAAGACCAAACCAATCACCTTACTCTACTGCTCAGGCAAGGACGTGAACTTATTTCCCTCTCCCCCACCACAGAGAGATGGCCTAGTCTATCTCACCTGGCCTCCCTTCACACCTTCATAGAATCGCCAGGTTGAGGGACCTAATTCAGGTAGTCCTTTGTTGTTGTTGTGGTGATAATTTACTCCTCTAAATGATTCACCGTGACTGTCTCCCAAACCGGTTTTTACAGTCGCTGAAGCCCTGAACTGACTTCCTTTACCCCAGGTTGAAACTCTGGTGCAAATAGCTTCTCTGTGGCTCGATAGGAACTGCTCTGGTTTAAACCTCATATACACAAATATTCGTAAATATATAAATGTAGGATAAAAAAAAACATCGTTTATGTAGATTTTCCTCAAAGAACATACGAAAATAAGGACTCAACACTAGCTACATTGACCTTGTTCAGTATATACATGGACCACGTGCGTCTACAGTGACTTACAGTACATACAATACTGACATCCGACCATAGAAGATTATACACGGATCAACAAGAGCACTGTCAGCCCCGTCACTCATCTACTGCCCTGTGTGACAAGAACAGTGAGGTGTTATACAAGAGTGTGAAGTGACATCAAGTGACGTGACTAAGTGACTAATTAGGTCTACAGTTCACAGGTAAGGTGAGAGGAGCAGCTCATGAGGTGTTTAAATTGAAAAACAAAAATCAATATATCAACATTGCGAGAGAGGAATGGTTGCCGGACTTTTATCACGTGTGTGTGTGTGTGTGTGTGTGTGTGTGTGTGTGTGTGTGTGTGTGTGTGTTACATGCTTTATCTGACTTAGAAACAAAAACAACGATAAGAAATAATTGTACCGGACCTAGAGCAATTTTATGCTGGTGTATGATAGTGATGGCGATAGTGTATCATAGTAATGGCGATAGTGATGATAGTGATGGCGATAGTGATGATAGTGATGGCGATAGTGATGATAGTGATGGCGATAGTGATGATAGTGATGGCGATAGTGATGATAGTGATGGCGATAGTGATGATAGTGATGGCTATAGTGTATCATAGTGATGGCGATAGTGATGATAGTGATAAATAACATCTGTTCACACACCTTGGGTCCCTAATGTCTGTTTGTAGTTTGGACAATCTTGCAAGTGAACATTTCTACCTAACCAACTCCCAAATATGCCACATACGTTAACCACGTCGTTAGTTCCCCTCATTAACCTAAAGTTTGATTCCAACCGATCTGAGGCGGGGAGGTAATCTCAACCAATCAGATATCAGATCCCAAAAGTAAATATTTACTAAGTGTGTTTCGAGGAAATATTTTATTTTTATATTTCTTCTTCTATTTTTCGTAAATTCCTGTATTATGTATTTAGTCTGTAAGCTTATTTTATTAGATATATTTCTTGATTCTTTTTTAGTTTGGCCTCTCTCTCTCTCTCTCTCTCTCTCTCTCTCTCTCTCTCTCTCTCCCACCGGATATACTTAGTGTTTGACCAGCTTGTAATGTTTGTCTTATCTCACCTCCCATGTCCTCTCAATAAAAATTAGATAAATTCCCCCCCCCCACACACAGACTATTGTATAAACAAAAGATAACCGAGAAGCGAAGACAACACTTCGTTTATTAAAAGCAAAGACTATAATAAGAAAGACAGGAAAGCGTCTACCTTTATCGATACAAAAAAACGCGAGCCACTGAGCTCCGATCAACGCCATCTATTGACAACGCGGCTAACTGAAAGCCCGCCCGGGAGGATAGCGTGTCCACGGTAACCAGTCTAGTGAACTGATAATTATTACCTTAATGTCTTTGCCTTGACGTTCTTAATGTGTACACAGGCACACACACATACACACTGACACTCACTGCAGATACAGAGGTGTTCAGTACATAGACCTCTTGGAAAAGGGTAATAACGGTGCAGTATGGCAACTTGATGTTTTATTTCAGTACAGTATTCAGATACTGTGTAATATGACAGCATAGTGTGACATATCAAATTATTTGTACTGTTATATAAGAAAAATTTAAACTACATTATACTGCAGTACATACTGTAAACATAGGGAAACAGTCAAAACCTCCATATAACAATCCTTCATGCAATGCAAACACCAAAACCAAAAGTAATAAAATATATAAGTCTTGCCGCACTCTAAAGCAATACTGCACACTGCTGCTTGTTCTTAATCAACTTGTAACACGTAAAACACTTATCTGTGTATAACTCACACATCCTTACTAACCTTGTACAGTAAATGTATAATGCACAGACACACAAAAACAACAAACATCCTGTAGTAGTACAAACGTTATCTATTTCTCTTAATATACGAACAGTACAATAAAAACGGTGGCGATATTACTTTTTTCTGTCTTTGGGGAAAACGTGAAACACAAGCTGAGGGTGATCTGTTCTGTACGTGGGCAGGCGACACACGAGTAGTGGTGACGCCCACTCCTTGTAAACACTCGACCGAGCCTGGCACACTAACCCCATCTGTTGATCCTGCGGTTTTCGCCTTGCTTTCCTGTCTTTCTTTTTATAGTCTTTGGTTAAAATCGTGAGAGTTGGACGGATGTTGGCGCTCACTCCCTCGGACACTCACACAGTTGTCCATGTCCGCCGAGGGTGTTGGTGAGGCTTGTTCATGTTTCACCATTATGTCAGTAAGTAGTGATTCTCAATATTATTTCCTGTTCAAATGTGTAGAAATAGTCATTATTTCTTGTTCTCTGGCGATAATCTCCAAAATATAAGCGTTGATGATAGTGTAAATTACGTAAAGTGATTTTCCGAGGATAAGTGAAATTTTTGGTGAACATTCTATAGGTGATTATAGGTGTTACTAATATATATATATATATATATATATATATATATATATATATATATATATATATATATATATATGTATATATATATATATATATATATATATATATATACAATTAAGATGGTGTGACGATAACTTAAGGATGTAACGATAACTTAAGGGGTGTGACGATAACTCAGGGGTGTGACGATAACAAGTAACGAAAGGTGGACGATCAGGGTGTGACGATAAAGGTGTGGCGATAACTTAAGGGGTGTAACGATAACTTTAGGGGTGTGACAATGACTCAAGTGATGTGACAATAACTCAAGGGGTGTACCGATAACTTAAGGGGTGTGACGATAACTTTAGGGGTGTAACGATAACTTAAGGGGTGTAACGATAATTTAAGGGGTGTAACGATAACTTAAGGGGTGTGACGATAACTTAAGGGGTGTAACGATAACTAGACTCCTTTGACGTTAAGTGGAGAAGATAAATTGAGACCGGAAAGAATAACAAGATAATACTGTTTTTTTGTTTTGATATAAGACTGGGGAAACACACATGACACACAACACATATGACACACAACACATATGACACAACACATACGACACACAACACATACGACACAACACATACGACACACAACACATATGACACAACACATACGACACACAACACATACGACACACAACACATACGACACACAACACATACGACACACAACACATACGACACACAACACATACGACACACAACACATATGACACAACACATACGACACACAACACATACGACACAAGGCAGTAAGATTGATGTTAATATTATCCTGTGAGTTAGTATTAGTTAATGGCCAGCCAGGTTCAATTGGCTTGACGGTTGTTATGATGACACAACAGGAGGTTCATTTATGTCACTACAGGTAACTAATTTATGACACTACAGGTAGCTAATTTATGACACGGACACTGAACTAGAAGGCCAGATATCACTCAACAGTACGTGAAGTTGCATAAGTGTTGTTGTTGTTGTTGTTGTTTCAGTAATTTTAGGTCAGTTACATATAAGTTGCATTGTTTGTTTCTCGCGTTAAAGAAGAAGAAAAAGAAGAAAGAACATAATTAAGCGAATATCTCCACGGAAATGACTCGAATCGCCTCGCTAATTAATCTGATTCACTTTTTTTTTTATTAGTTTTAATGATTTACGATTATAACTTTTTTTCTGAGTTATTTGTGACCTGTTTGTTGTTTTATCTAAGGCTACTGGCAGTAAGTGGTGAATAAAAGAGTTACTCCTGTTGACGTCATTGCGTATAATGAAGTGATAATGGGTATAATTGTACAGAGTGAATAACAGATAAATGGATAAACAGTAGGATGGATTAAATAGACAAATAGACAGACACTCAAACAGACAGATAGACACATATAAGATAGATCTAAGAATTATTTTTTCTTCGCCTTAATGATGGCTGTCATCTATTAATTCTTTGACGTACATACAATCATACATACATACATACATACATACATACATACATACATACATACATACATACATACATACATACATACACCCTTACCTGACCTAAACCATTTACCTTTTCAGCTCTGTGTCTGAGAGAGCAATGATGACCGATACAGAGAATGGCGGTGGCGGACGTGTGAGCTGTCTCCAGAAGTGGGCGTTGTGGGCGTTGTGGGTGGTGGGCGTAGGCGGACCGTGGATGGTTGAGGGGTATAACCTGTCTCCTTCACACTCCAGGATTATGGAAGGACCACCAGGCGCTCACTTTGGCTTCAGTGTGGCTCTGTGGTGGGATAAGGACGACCAAAAGAGGTGAGAGAGAGAGACAGAGACAGAGAGAGAGACAGAGAGAGAGACAGAGAGAGAGAAAACACAATTATATCTCCTTCCTTCTTCTTCTTCTTCTTCTTCTCTCACCTCCTAAATTCTTCTTCCCATTTCCTTTAATTCCTCTTTTCTAGGTCACTTCCTGGTACCGCCGCTACTGTCCTCAGCTAAGTCTTCTCAGTCCCACCTACTTTCCGAACTTCCTTCCTTCCTGTATCCCTCAGTTGGTAACCCTATCTCCAAGGTCTCTCTATTGTCTCTCATAAGCAGATGATAGATAGTGTCTCTCCAAGATCAGTAGTGGTGGTAATGTCTCCTCATTTCTCATAACTTTCTCTCATTTATCTCCAACACAGTGAATGGGTGTGTCTCTTTAGTTCTCTTATCCAGCTGTCTCATCTTGGTTTTTATCTCATGGTATATCATCTCTCCGTTATCTCTTCTCCTGGTATAGTATCTCTCTGTTATCTCTTCTCCTGGCATAGTATCTCTCTGTTATCTCTTCTCCTGGTATAGTATCTCTTCGTTATCTCTTCCAGGATAGCGGTAGGAGCCCCAAGAGGGAAGAACTCTACCCTAGGGATGGGTCAACGGCCCTTAGGGAACATATTCTTGTGTACTGTGACTGATGACGTCAAATGCTTCCCTGATGAGAGGCTACCTATGGCGTCAAAGGCAGGTGAGTATCATCAAACCTGAGGGTTAACCTGAAGATAATCCACCACGATAACCTAACCTAACCTAACCTAACCTAATCTAACCTAACCTAACCTAACCTAACCTAACCTAATCTAACCTAATCTAACCTAATCTAACCTAACCTAATCTAATCTGGGGAAGGAAGGGGAATTAGGTTAATCAATCTTTAGATAAAATAAACTTGGGTGAAGATTTTTCAGGTGATTCATTTTGTTGTTTTATTATTTTTTACTCTTTGAACTTTTGAACAGATAAGAGCGAGCAGGCATTGAACATCAACAGTGAATACATGAATAAAAACGTAATGGGTTTTGGACATTCTCTGGCGACACTCAAGACCCGTACATCATCTTTAGCTGTGAGTAACTGTGAGGTTTATCTATCTGTCTGTCTGTCTGTCTTGAGAGATATAAAGATTGACAGATGTATCTCTTATCTCTACTACTATAACTACTACTACTACTACTACTATCTTCACCATTATCAACCACTACCACTGTTAGCACCACCACTACCATCAACCCTTACCACTATCACCACGTCTACCACCACCACCACCACCACTACCAACCATCACTACCACCACCAGCACCATCAACCAAACACCACTACTACCACTATAATTAACCACCATTACCCTGCCTACCTACAGGCCTGCGCCCCTCGTTACCCGAGAAAGGAGGAAGAGCGAGTGGAGACCCGAGGAGCTTGTTTTATCTTGGACAATCTTGAGAGAGACCCTATACACCTCGTGCCTCAAGACTGTAAGTGATGTGTTCTTTGTGTTCTTTGTGTTCTTTGTGTTATTTGTGTTGTGTTCTTTGTGTTCTTTGTGTTCTTCGTGTTCTTTGTGTTCTTTGTGTTCTTTGTGTTCTTTTATCATGTCTTATATCATTTGTTTTCTTAGTGTGATTATACAAGCCCTTTACCTGTTGTTCTTTAATGGTCTTTGTTTTTTATGCCCTATATATAATAATGATAATAATAATAATAATAATAATAATAATGATAATAATGATAAATAATAATACATCTGTTTGTACATGTAAGCAGTTTTGCCTCTTGCTAAAATTTGCAGACCCAATTTTATCTCTCTCTCTCTCTCTCTCTCTCTCTCTCTCTCTCTCTCTCTCTCTCTCTCTCTCTCTCTCTCTCTCTCTCTCTCTCTCTCTCTCTCATTGTATCTCACCCTAAGTTAAACTCTTTTCCTCAGCCAATATACCCAACCTGAAGACGCTTGAGAACGCTATGTTTGGTTATAGTGTTGCCTTGGATGATCAGGTCAGTACAACACAGCAATTTCTTGAAGCATGTCTGTAGCAGGTGTTTGTTATTGGTAGAAGTTAATGGTATTTTTTTCTCCGAGTTAATGGCAGGTGTTTATGGTAGGTGCTGTATTTATGAGACAGGTGTTAGTGACAGGTGAGAGTGGTAGGTATGTACAGTATAATCACAGGTGTTCGTGATAGGTAACAGTTGTTGGATTATGCTAACTCTCATAACAAAAGCTTGTGGCAATTGTTCTAAACAGATGGTACCAAAGGTGTTAGAGCATAACAGGTGTTCCCTACAGATGTTCATAGCAACACATATATCAGTATGTGTGTGTGTGTGTGTGTGTGTGTGTGTGTGTGTGTGTGTGTAAGGTAGCAGTAATGGTAGTATTTCCAGTATTGTACCAGAGTTAACACAATTCATAAGTAGTGGCAATAGTACTAGTGTTAGTAATATTAATGACTAGTTGTAGTAGTAGTAGAAGTAGTAGTAGTAGAAGTAGTAGTAGTAGAAGTAGTAGTAGTAGAGGTAACAGATAAATTCAGTTAACTAACTCTAACATCATCGTCTACAGTAAGTTTGTTATTAATCCTGGTAACTGTTCGACTCTACAGGCCAACAGCGTGATCCTGGGCGGTCCTTATGCCTTTTACGGGGAAGGTATGTCAAAAATCTATGTTTTATTAAGAGAACAAACTTATTCTAAATCTATTCTCAAGTCAAAATCAAGAATAAATTAGAGATTAGAGAAGTAAACATAACTCCCATGGCGATGTGGGGGACTTTTCTATTGGTCGTGTTAAAGTTTTTTTTAATCTTTTGTATGTGTGTTTATATGACAGGTGTGGTCTACAACAAGCCTTTTGACGGAGGATTGGGTTCCATGAATAGACTAAAAGATAAGAAGCAACAACCAAGCACCATCGACTACTCAGACTCTAATGAAGGCTGGGCGACCATCCTGGGAAACTTTGACAACATCAACACCATCATAGCGACCTCTACTGTCCACTACGGCAACTACACTGGCAGGGTAGGAGTGGCACCAAGGTTATTTTGGGGTTATTTTTCTTATTCTTGAGATACCTGGCGCTACTCTTGTTGTTTGTGCATGTTGTAGAGTTAATATAAGAATAATTTTATTTTAGCTTTTTAGGTAAATTAAGTGAACGTGCAAAAAAAATTACCACCAGGTTCCACCACTGTAGCCTGCCCCTAAAAATTCCACCTTCGGGGCACTTCTGGGGTAACTCCATTATCTCGGTAACTGATTGATTGACACACACACACACAGACAGAGGGTCTTTAATTAATACATATATGTTAATAATTTCATTACTTATTAGCTCAAAAGCCATTAGGACAGTAAGTCTATTTTGGGGTAGTTTTTTATGACCATTATTTGACCAGTGTTAGTACAAGAGGATACTAGAATAGCTGAAAAAACCTGCCATGATTGATAGTGTCACCCTTCTTATATCTGTTCCGGGCCAGGGATCAAACACCGGACACAGCCATGAGAGATACACCTGTTACCTCTATACCTCATGTGTACATTGTTGTGAGTGCATGGCTAGTGGTAGTACCTACTATTTATATTATTTTGTTATTCTTGTTTATTTCTTTATTCTTGTTTACTGTTATTTTTATTGTTATTACTTATATTATTATTGTTTCTCAGGTGAGCTTCTACCCAAAGAAATTGATTCTTCATAAACCACCTCTGCTGAGTTTGTACGGGACAGAAGTCGGGGCACAGTTTGGTTACTGTCTAGGGTCGGGTGACGTGGACGGAGATGGGGCGGCTGACCTCCTGGTGGGTGCTCCTCTAGCCCCGGGGGAACACGCTCCTGACGCTGGCAAGATCTGGGTATACTTGTCCCCGCTGATCACTGTGAGTGTGTGTGTGTGTGTGTGTGTGTGTGTGTGTGTGTGTGTGTGTGTGTGTGTGTGTGTGTGATATATCCCGTTACAGTGACCTCAACTTTCACGTGAGGTCCCACTCTCGGCTTCCAGGTTTGACAGGTAATTAACACATCATACCTGTAGTCAGTTAATAACAGGTAAATGAACCTTGATGTATCACATGAGTGTATGTATCTAAAGATCAAATTACTGTACTTACTAATTGATCAGGAAAAAAATAAATTAAGTTTTCACAGGTAAACATATTTGGATTTGTAAATGTCAGATGGGAGAGAATGAACGCATATCTATAAAGATTGACTGATTTTATAATTTTAGTGTTTTTATCAAATAACAGTCAAAAGGGAGTAAGGATGTGGTGGGCAAGAGGACATTATACACACTCTACCTACTGGTCGTGATGCCTCTGAGCTGCTCACTTTACAACAAACAATAGATACGTCATTGCTCATAAGTTAACTGCCGTCTTTACCTATCAAACTGTTTCACTCTCTCTCTCTCTCTCTCTCTCTCTCTCTCTCTCTCTCTCTCTCTCTCTCTCTCTTCTCTCTCTCAGTCTATCTCTCTCTTTTCAGGGCAGCCAGAACAGAGCCCCACAAGAAGTGTCCGGTACAGAGCCCTGGGGACGCTTTGGGACAGCCTTGACCTCTCTTGGTGATGCTAACAGAGATGGTTACGATGGTGAGTGCACACACACACACACACACACACACACACACACACACACACACACACACACACACTTGCCACTCTTTATACTAAACTTACTATAAACCAAATGAAAATCACCAACGTCCAATTATACAATAGTATCCTAATATTGTAATATGTCTCAATATCCGACCACTTCTAAGTATCCATGGCTGCAAGATGTACATTCTCTTCACAGATGTTGCAGTTGCGGCGCCGTACGCAGGCATGAATGGAGGCGGGGTGGTGTTTGTGTACTATGGGGGGCAAGACGGACTCAGGACAGATCACATACAGGTAAAGACACTTGTAGCCTTGTGTACCTGGTTCTGGTCGTGTGTGTGTGTGTGTGTGGGTAAAACTATGGGCAATTTTTTTACGCCATTTGCCTCTGTCTGCCCAGCAGTAATTGGTAACCTGGATGTTAATCGATTAATTACTGGATCGCGTTCCGGGGTAATGGTTAGCCAGTGCAGTTGGCGAGTTGTCCGGTCTTCTCGGATTATTCCTTGACACTGGGTCAGACAGCTTTTTAACTTTGTACAAGCATAGTCAATCAATGAAAAATTAATTAAATTTAATAAAAGTTTTTACCCTCACCCAACAGAAGGTAGAAGCGTCCTTTTTCCCGGATGAAATCAGAGGCTTTGGCTTCAGCATGGATGGCGGGATAGACGTAGATGGAAATGGCTACCCAGACCTCATCATTGGGGCAGTGGAATCAGACAGGGCCATATTAGTTAGGTAAGAGAATTTTTTTAACTGTACACAACTGACAAAGAACATTCTATTCACAAATACTTATTCATCATTTAAAAGGAAGAAACCTATCTATCTAACTTATCAAATCTGTCCATCTAAAAAAAATGCTGCCTAAAAATACAGATAAACATTAAAACAAGAGATATCCACTAAACATTCACAGTAAGAGACTCTGTTCTTCATCTTATGCCGCATTGACAGGTCTAAGCCAGTGATCAGACTGGTGGGAGGCATACGCTTCAAGAAACAGGACATGATAGTTGAGGATGAGAAAGATTGTATTGTAGAGGCAGCTGGCTACAGATCCTTCAAGGCTGTGTGTTTTGAGCTCCAAGTCGACATTACCTACGACACATACAGGGAACTCAATAACCTTAGTAAGTTTCAAGAAGTTTTGTGGGAGACTTTGGCATTAGTTAACAAGGTTAATTGAGAAAGTTAAGAGTCTCTGTGTCCTCATGAAGTTTTGAGAGATTCTGAGAGATTCCCTCTAACTGGTTTCACAGACTCAAAATTTCCCAAGAAAATAAGAGATAAACAAACAGTTTCTTAATTAACTTCGCTAACTAACTCGTTTCTGGTTCTCAAAAGTTTGTTTACTTCTCCTAACTGGGCAGTTTAAGAATACCCCTAACTTCTTGTTGATTCTTAAGCTAATTACACATTAATTATACTGTAACTTCAACGTAACTAAATGCATTAACTCAGGTAGAATTATTAAGACAAATACATTACAAAATCTAAAAAAAAAAATTATATATATGTATATATTTTTTCATACAGGATGTTAATAATTATACAGTAACTATTTAAGGTAGAATTATAGTTAGTATTGTTGTTAGTGATGGTGAGTGTAGTGTAGGTAATGGTGAGTATGGTTGCACATTACAACCGCAACCATCATCACCAACCTCTACTACTGTACTATCACCACCATTATTAACCACCACCACCACCAATATCATCACCACAACCACCACTATATCCTGTACCACTTTAACTACCACTATCATCATCACCACCACCACCACAACCTCTACCACTACTCCACACAGGGCTACAGTTTAACATGGTGCTGATGGGCCTGGAAGACACCTCTCAGTTCGGATTTAAAACTAACAATGACAACAGGTGGGTGTCTATGGCATTTGCTTTGGCTATATAATATCTAATACATCCGTGTGTGTGTGTTAATCATTTAATTTACCTGTCTACTTATTTATTCTTATATTTTGGCTGACAGGTACACTACAGAGCGGAGAGTTAATATGGCAGGTGATAGTAGTGCATGGACGCTGGGGGGGTACTTCAAGGTGAGTGTCTCTCTCTCTTTTCTTTTGCTATCAGATATGGGGAGGGAAAGGAGGAGGAAGTGAAGGAGAATAAAGAGTAGGAAGAAGGTAAGTAGGAGGAAGAGTAGGAGGTGTGAAAGGAAGAGGAAGAGTAGGAGGTGTGAAAGGAAGAGGAAAAGGCGGAGGAAGAATAGGACTTGAAAGGCCATTAATATGCTTCCCTTCCCCTCAGAATACAATGGATGTTGCCTAAAGGTTGTATGTTGTATGTCGTAGTAAATGTGATGTATACTGTATAAAGGTACTCGAGCAACACCTTACGTATGAATATGTATTTTTGTAGACTTGTTTGTTTGTATTTTTATGTATTCTTGTATTGTAAATTCGAGTTTATAGATGCTAGGTTAAGTTAGGTTAGGATAGGTCTGGTTATGTTATGTTAGATTAGGTTAGTTTTGATTTGGTTAGATTAGGTTAATCATCAACTGAAATATTAGACCATGTATAGTGTATGACAGGATAACCAAACCCTATTCCATACGCCCGCAGCGAGTGAGGGCTAACATCGGACAGACGCTCAGCGCCTCAGTCTCCGTCAGTCTCCTGTCTCCCCCCAACAACATTGATGAAGAAAGTGGTGGTGGTGATAATGATGTGGTGGAGCCCATGCTGGACATCTTCACCACCACCACCTACGTCGCCAACACCACACTCATCTGTAACAACAATCTCACCTGCTTCTCTCAGCCAGATCTAGTGTTGGAGGCGTCAGCGTGAGTATGTCTGTCTGTCTGCCTGTCTTTATCTGTGTTTCTTGTTTGTCTGTCTGTCTGTCTCTCTCTCATCACCTCTACTAACCACAACCTCTCTCTCTCTCTCTCTCTCCCTACAGTCCTACAGTACGTTTGGGTGAAAATTCATTGGAAGTAGAAGTCAAATTGGAGGCGAAATATGACCCAGGGTACAGTGTGGAGGTGGAGGTGAAACATCCAGAATTAGTGAATTACACCAGAGTGGATGGGAACACCTCCATTCCTACCTGCCGTCAGCTACAGTTCGTCAATCAGATCTCTAATAAATTGATTTGCAAGTTTGACGCTATTGGGGCGGATGAAGTGGTGAGTGTAGTTAGGTCAGGTCAGGTTAGGTCAGGTCAGGTTAGGTTTGATTAGGATAGCATATTTTAATAATCCAAACATAACAAAAACAATGAAGTAACTAACAAAATCTTGAGGTTATTCCCTTGACTCATCCTCATCTTGCAGGTAAACTTCACACTCTACTTCAAGTACGACTCAGTGTCTCTATTGGACCACCTGACAAACCAAGCCACTGACACCCTCAAGTTGGACCTTAGAGTCACCAGTGATAGCGATGGAGACCCAGACACGCGTAACAACCAATATTCTGTCGATGTCCCCGTGGTGATCAGAGCTACACTCCATACCAAGGTGTAAGGATGTGGGGTAATGTGTAGGCATGGTGGAGTGAGGAAGGGGGATGGTGGAGTGGGGGGGTTGGTGGAATGTTGGGTCATGTAGAGATGGGAAGGATGAGGGATGGAGGAGAGATGGAGGAAAAGAAATAGAAGAAAAACGGGAAGGATAGGTTAGGATAGTTCGATGGAGGAAATGAGAGTAAAAGAATAACAGAGGGAGGGAAACACTGGTGGGGGGAGGGGGAGATAAGGATAAAGATGAATGAGATAGCTAGAGATTGATAGATAGATAGAGACAGAGAGACCATAATCTCAATCTCTCAGCACTCTACAGAATCTCTTATCATCTACATCGCCTTCAGGGAGTCACTGACGGAGAGCACAACAGTGGTGGTGAACTCGACAGCGTCCCTGGAGGAGTTGAAGGCGGTGAAAGAGGACCCGCAGAAGACCTTCCCTGTAGACAAGCTGGGTCCTCGGCTCCAGCACAAGTTTTCCCTCACCAACCGCGGCCCAAGTCCCGTCAGGAATGCCAAGGTACCGTACGTTCAGGGTGATATTAAGTCAGGTCATGCTAGGTCAGGTGATATTAAGTCAGGTATTGTTAGGTCAGGTGATATCAAGTCAGGTCATGCTAGGTCACGTGATATCAAGTCAGGTATTGTTAGGTCAGGTGATATCAAGTCAGGTCATGCTAGGTCAGGTGATATCAAGTCAGGTATTGTTAGGTCGGGTGATATCAAGTCAGGTCATGCCAAGAAAGATGAGGTTATACCAAGTCAGGTCAAATTAAGTTATGCGAGGTCAGGTAATGTTAGGTGAAGTCAAATCAAGTTATGCCAGGTCAGGTCATGTCAGGCATTGGTTATGCTAGGTCAAATGAGCTTATGCCTGGTCAATTAAGGTTACTCCAAGTCAGATCAAGTCAACTTGTTTTTATACCAGGGTAGGTTATGTCAGTTTACGTTAGGTTAAGTTAGGTCAGGTTAGGTTAGGTTAGGTTATTCTAGATGAGGTTATGTAGGGGAAAATTAAGTCAGTTATGGTTAGGTTAAATCAGGTTAATCCAAGTCAGGTCAGGTTAGGTTAGAAAATTACATAAAGCCGATACAATAGAGGGAATGAAAGCAAGTGGGTGCTGGAGAGAGAGAGAGAGATTCCTTCAATAAACTAACTACCCCCTACAGCTGAAGTTTCATGTGCCGCTCTACCGCTCTAAGGGTGACCTGTTGACCTACTTCATGGACCAGCCTGCCACCTCCCCCTCACTCACCTGTCAGCCTCTCCCCATCAACACCCTCCACCTACAGGTAACGTTAACAGCTAAATGAGTCATCAGTCACCTACAGGTAACGTTAACAGCTAAATGAGTCATCAGTCACCTACAGGTAACATTAACAGCTAAACATACTTAATTATAATAACAATAATACTGACAACATCAACAACAACAATACTAACAACAACAACAACAATACTAACAACAACAACAACAATACTAACAACAACAACAAAGGCAGAAGAGTCTTTCCTGCCCTTGTCTCGTTACAGTGTTCGACATGGTACCAGAGGAAGCTTGTTAAGGCTTTCTTGAGTCTAGAGGTGACGATATGGTTTGTGTGAAACGTTGGAACTCTCTCTCTCTCTCTCTCTCTCTCTCTCTCTCTCTCTCTCTCTCTCTCTACAGTAAGTGTCAGCCTTATCTCTTATCGTCCACAGCCAACCAACAATGCTCAGCCCGCTATCGCCACTAGTATGCCCGACCTCACTGACACCACTACCACCACTACTCCCACCAATATGCCCGACCTCGCTGACACCACTACCACCAATATGCCTTATTTCGCTGGCACCATCACCGTCTCTGCCCTCGCTGACACCATGGAGTCAAACATCATGAATGGTTGGTCAAGTTTGTTTATGTTACTTTCATAACGGATAATTTACCCTCCTTCAGACGTATATACCGGATACCCAACCCTACCCTACCTACCTACCCCCTACCCCAACCCTACCTACCTACCTACCTTAACCCTACCTACCCTACCCTACCCTACCCTACCCTACCCTACCCCACCCTACCCCTACCTACCCTACCTGCCCACCCTACCTACCCTACCCACCCCTACCTACCTACTCCCAGCAACCTACCCCCTACCTACCCAACCTACCCTACCCCTACCCCTACCTACCCATTAACCCCTACCCCTACCCTACCCTACCCACCCTACCCTACCCACCCCTACCCCCAACCCAACCTACCTACCTACCTGTCATGTCATCATTTAGTTAGAGCTAGAATGTCTATACAGTTGTAGTCTTAAGTGGATCAAATTACCAAGGTCTTCCTGGTCGCCTTACAGACACCCTACAACACCTTCGTCGTCGC